TGTGTGTGTGAGTGTGTGTGTGTGTGTGTGTGTCTGAGAGTGAGTGTGTGTGTGTGTGTGTCTGGGAGTGTGTGTAAGTCAGTGTGTGTGAGTGGATGTATCTGTTTTACACTCTTGATGTTTTAGAGTGTAACCCCTTTCTTACTGTACATTTTTTTACTGCATTGTAGTCGAATTATTGATTTTATTTTACATAGTTGCAGTTGCAGTAGTCACACCAGTTCAAGGTGTGTGTGTGTGAGTTGGTGTGTTGATTTTGCACTCTAGATGTTTTAGTTTCACCCCTTCATTGCTGTGCAATGTTTTTCCGCATTGTGGGGGATTTGTAGATTGTACACAAAAATTTTCTGTATTTTAGATTTATTTCCCATTCATTTCCTATGTTTGCTCATTTTTGACCGAAGACCAAGAGTGTGACCTATTTTTTTTCAATCATGCTCTGTTTTTTTTTTTGTGTGTGTTCACATACCAAGGGCCATAAAAGTCTCCAAGTTTTGTACCATTCTGGTGAAGCTACGATTTTGAAAAATTCTAAATGTAAAATTGAAGTGACAGAAGACCACAGAAGGGTTCGAGACCAGATAACTCTGAACAGACATTCTATTAATGTTACTTTAAAACATTTGTTCATAACTTTGATAGAACCTTGCCGGAATGTTCTGAGAACGTTCCCTGTGTTAGCTGGCGATGCAGGATTCAATCGGTGGGTTCTTTTGTCTTTCATAACTATCATACGCAGCTATTCTATATCTCTTTTATAATTGGCCATGTAGCAGTGCGTCACAGTGAGGCAGTGGTCAGTGCTTGACGCTGGTGAGATCCGCAGACCGCAGCAGTGCATACAGCCTGAGCGAGTTCAGAAGCTGTTCGACACAGAGCTGTTTCAGTCTCTACTCACCACAGGACTAGAGAAGATGAAGCAGAGCGGATACGACCGGTCCCTTTAGAACGGTTCACGCTACACCTGCATCAGTCACACACACACACTACTGTACCATCACCCAGATATTGTGAACTAGTTTTTATTTTCCGTTTTAATTTTAGTAAAAATTTGTGCAATTTTGTCATTTTTATTCACGTTTTCAAACTCTGCCTATATAGCTTTTATTAATTTTTATTTCAGTTTTAGTTTTATTTATTCCAGCACATCAGGTTAAACTAAATGAAGAGGAGAAATGCTGCTTTTGGCAAGTAGACAACATAAGTTTAAGTTTTTTAAATATTTTAAAGTATTTTCTGGTTTAATTGTTTCAGTCTCTACTCACCACAGGACTAGAGAAGATGAAGCAGAGCGGATACGACCGGTCCCTTTAGAACGGTTCACGCTACACCTGCATCAGTCACACACACACACTACTGTACCATCACCCAGATATTGTGAACTAGTTTTTATTTTCCGTTTTAATTTTAGTAAAAATTTGTGCAATTTTGTCATTTTTATTCACGTTTTCAAACTCTGCCTATATAGCTTTTATTAATTTTTATTTCAGTTTTAGTTTTATTTATTCCAGCACATCAGGTTAAACTAAATGAAGAGGAGAAATGCTGCTTTTGGCAAGTAGAATTTAATAAATAAATAAGTTTAAGTTTTTTAAATATTTTAAAGTATTTTCTGGTTTAATTTTACTTTTAGTTACAGTTTAGTAATTTTGTTGTATGTTTTTGTGATTTTTATTAGTTTCTTTTTTAAGCATGTCTAATTAAATAGGTTAATTTTTATATTTCAAGTTTAGTTTTACTTATTTTAGTTTAATTAAAAGAAAATGAGAAATTTTGCCTTGGCACGTAGCTGAAATAAAACAAGTAACATTTTTTTTTTTTTCATTTAATGTTTATTTTATTACAAGTATTTTATGTTTTTGTTTTAATTTTAGTTACATTTTCATAATTTAGTTGTGTGTATTTGTCATTTTATTAGTTTCTTCTTTAAATGTCTATATACATTTTTATTTCCGTTTACACTAAATGAAAATGAACTGAAATAAAATGATTTAGGTTTAGGTTAACGTTTTGTTAATGTTAGAAACACACACACACACACACACACACACACAGGTGAGATGACCTTTGACCTCTTGACCCTCAGAGCAGCACAAGGGTCACCCTGACCTCAGGTCACTGGAGTCTGTGCTTTCTGACTTCATCTGCAGCTGAGCTGATGAGAGGTCTTTAACAAGCTACTGCAGACACTGATCAGAATGAGATGACTTAGACTTGATTTAAGATCACTGCCACATCAGCTTCACACACTATTTCATAATTGAGCCTCCGCAACTGATTTTCTTTGATAAATATGTCAAAGATTATTGTATGATTTGTTTTGAAAGAGAATGAGTTGAGAACACACTGCACTGTAGTGTATGAACAGCATGTGACACAGTGTGCAATGTATGGCTGTATCCGATATTGTTGTCACATGATCACTTTACATGCAGTTACTTTGCACTTGTAAATACAACTACAGTGCATTTGGGCAAATCTAGTCCAAGTATTGCATGCAAAACAGAAAAGTCACATTATGTGCAAAATACACTATGAAACAGCTGAAAGTGTGCTCATCTGATATGTAGATGAGTTTGTGTCTTCATCAGGTTTGTAGAAATGTAGCATTGCATCAGTGTCTCAGCAATGGATGCTCTGCAGTGAATGGGTGCCGTCAGAATGAGAGTCCAAACAGCTGATAAAAACATCACAATAATCCACAAGTAATCCACAGCACTCCAGTCCATCAGTTAACATCTGGAGAAGACAAAAGCTGAGACTAATCCCCTTTCAAAAACTACTGTGTACCTTTTCCCCCACTTTATTAAACTTGTGCTGTTTCTAGTGAAAAATGGCCAGTCTACAAAAAATTGCTCGTAAATCTCCCATTATTCTATATTATCACCAAATCCTGGATTCAATCTGTTTGTCAACTTTCTTTCAATCAACAATTAGCTTCTTTTTTTTTTTTTTTATCTGATAGGTCTCACTGATCTCAGTTTTTGAGTGAATATTGCCAAAATTATCCATAAATGTAATAATGAAAAAAAAAATACATTAATAATAAAAAAAAAAAGGATCTTATTGAATCCAATTAAGGTCATTGGGACAAAGATCCTACTCCTATATTAGATCCACAAGGGGTAAAACTGCTTTGAAACAATATGGCGAAAAACACTATAGAAACTAACTAAACTGAATTGAATCTGAACTGGCAGAGCAGCTCCAGTGAATTAGAGTGAAACACTTTCTGCTGATTTATCGTTGATGTTGTTGTTTTTATTGTTTCTTTATTTGTATTATTTATATATATGTTAATGCTTTGGCAATGTTGTGTTACGCAGTCATGCTAATAAAGCGTAATTGAGCTGAATTAGAGCGAGAGTATGGAAGCAGATTAGACTCAATAATAATTCACGCAAAAGACACGATGCACACATGCGTGAAACCCAATTCACCTGCACGAAAGCCTGTCGATCGACCAATCATAACCCGCTGTGGGCGTGCCTACCTGGACGTTACGTCATCAGCGCGAGACAGCAGAGGTTTGTGCAGCTGATCGTTTCATTTCAGTTAACTAGCCTTGTAAAGGTGTATTGTTTTATCTTTGCATGCTTGCTTAAAACTTGAAGTAAAATCGGTTGTTTAGACACACTCGTTAACGTGACCAGTGTAAGCCAGCGGCTGCTGTTTAGTCCAGAGTGTGTTATGATTTAATATTGATCGATTCTTATGTTTATTTAATAAATAATCATTATTCACGTGGATTAGTGATGGGCAAATGAAGCCTCGTGAAGCACTGAGGCTTTCCTCTGACGGTTTCGGGAAAAGATTTGAGTGTGTCGAAAACAGCGCCATCTGGTGGTTAATAAAAAGAATAGCAGCCAAAAGCTTGTGAAAGACGCTCCGCTTGCCTCTGACGGTTTCGGGAAAAGATTTGAGTGTGTCGAAAACAGCGCCATCTGGTGGTTAATAAAAAGAATAGCAGCCAAAAGCTTGTGAAAGACGCTCCATAGGACGAAACATCCAGCACACATTCCACAGATCGATTCATGTTACATGCACAAATAATAGCCTAACAGTGTGTGTGTTTGTTTTTGTTAAATTTCTGTCTCTGATAAATTAATTTACCCGTTAAACTGTGCAATTTAATACTACGAATATCAATATGATGTAATAGAAGAATAACGTACACATATGAATTGCATATGACAAATATTTAATTTTCCTGAAATAATTTGTATTCTTCATATTACTTGTTCGTAAAGTAAGATCTGGGGCAAGTTCAAGCTCAAACTTGCAACATATTTATATATTTTGCTATTGTATTGTGGAGTGACACTTTCATCAACTTTTCTATACTCCTCCGATTATATAATGGTACGTGATTTCTATGTTAACAACACAAGCTTCGAATCGAGGCTTCATCTGGGACGCCCATTTATTCTCGACACAAGCTCCGATGCCCTGGCTGCCAGGAAAGTCTCAAAAATACACACAAATCCAAGGCAATTCACACACTCACCCTAGGGCTGCACGATTAATCGAATGTGATTGTCATGCGCATTTTGATAGTAATGGCACGAGAGCGCCCTCTGGCCTTTGGATGGAGATTTACTGCTGATCACAGAACCCTGCTTCACTGAAAGATACGCATGAAAATCGCGATCTCGATTCCATTTCGGTTTATCGTGCAGCCCTAATTCACAGTCTGTGATAAACGTTTGAATTTTAAATATTCAATATTTTTGTACACAGTTGTACATCTGGGAATTGTGTTTTGCATTTGTGAAACGTATTTTATGAATGTATATTCTTATTTTGTGCACATGAATTGGTTTTTGTGAATATATATATATATATATGTACAGGTGCATCTCAATAAATTAGAATGTCATGGAAAAGTTCATTTATTTCAGTAATTCAACTC